ACCACTTGGATTCACTGAACCACAAGCTTGGAGAGGGAGGCTGGAATTATAAGCAAGTTCTTTAGGTGACTTTGCCTTCACTTTTACTGTGGTCATTTTTAAACACACACTAAAAAAGATGAAAAAGTAAGATGATTACCCATGTGCCCAGCACTCTATTCACCACTCATTTCTCACTATGTGCTGTGTGCGCGTGTGTGTGTGTGTGTGTGTGTGTGTAAATCATCTGTAAGCTCTGACACTGCAGTACTTCACTCTAAACACCTCCAAAGAACAAAAACGTTCTCCTCCATACTATCACCATGCTTGGGAAAATCAACAGTAATTCAGCAATACCACCTGCCTCAGTTACTTTTCTCATTGCTGAGACAAAATACCCAACACCCACAAGTTAAGGGAGGAAAGGTTTATTCAGTTCACAGTTTGTAGAAGTTTCAGTCCATGATCAGCTGGCACCAAGGCATGGTGGCATGGCAGGGGGGCATTGCAGAAGAGAAACAGTTCATGGTGGGCAGAAGACAGAAGGCACCAAATTACAAGCAACAACAGCTTCTTTGTGCCCCTTTTACATTCTAACTAGGCTACTGGGCTTAGGGTTGGAAAAATCAATCAGTGGACTTAGTCATCACATACCCTTAATCTTAGCATCACACATTCTAGTTCAGCCACCTGTGGAAATGCCCCATCTAGGATTGCATGAGACTTTGGGGAAACATCTAGACACAAGCCATAATACCACCTTACAGTCCACATCCAAATTTCTCCCAGTTGTCCTCCAAATATCCTCTTTAGCTTGTTGCTTCTAACCAGGATCCTTTTGGAGTCTGGATGGTTCTTGGGCAAGCAGAAATTTGAGGCTCACTCCATGACAGGCCTGACGTTTGTTTCATGGTGCCTAAGTACAGGGGTACTGGCTAACGATACGGCAGTCCTTCCTGCAGGATTTGCTCTTAGCAGTTGGGCTACTTGGGAGCAGAAGCACCATGCTCTCGAAGGCCTCTGATGCAGCAGTTCAGGCAGTGATGGGCTGTGGGAGTACGCTGAGGGACAGGTGTCCCTCCTTTAACAGTGTGCACCTTGTGCACATGGAGCCTCCCACTTGGCCTCCAGATAAAGCAGCTGCTCCAAGGGGCAGGGGTGAGGACGCTAAGGGGCAGCACTCAACCTGGGCTGTCCCTGTGAGATATCTGGGTGGAACACAGCCGCCTGCCCACCCCCATCTGCCCTCTCGAAGCACTCAGATTCTACTGCTGGCAAGAAAGGCCAGAGACACAATCAACACCCTGAGCCATCACAGTTGCACCAACTTTCCTGAAGGCCAGGGAATCAAGGAAAGAAATGACCTAGACAACTTGGTGTTTTCAAAATCAGACTTCTCAACACGGTACGGGGCACAGGGTTGAAGCTCTCCACTTTCCTGACCTAGCACCCCAGGAACACAAGTCTGCTCACCAGCCACTCCCCAACCCTTAAACCTGTGGTTTTATCTGGAAAAAGAAGCCACACCCAGAGGGACAGAGGAGACACATCCTACAACCAGAAGGCCGCCCCTGGGGACTCTAGAATTGATATTAATCCCAAATGGAATGTGCAGACTCTCCCAGTATTCCTTGTCCCATTTAAGGTGTCTTGTAGATGTTCATGAAAATTAATACTAAGAAACTCCCTGGCACACCAACACTGCAGGCAGATTTTGCAGAGCAGGCCGTGAACAGGGACACTGCCCTCTGCTGGCAGCTCTGCCCACCTACAGCACCCCTCCCCACTCCCACCCCGCTTTGTGCAGCTCTAAACTGGGCCCCTCGGCAGAGCCACATTGGGTAACGTGAGGGGCTCTCCTGATCTCTCCAATGGGCTCCTAACCCCCAATTATAAATTCTCTTTGAAATGAGCGGCCTTACCATTGTGGTAGATATTACAAAAGATTTTGCCCATCACAAACTTCCTAATTTAAAATTTTTCTTAGTGTGATTTATATATGAAAAGACCTGCCAACCAACTTGCCCAAAACAATGAGAAAGGCCCACCATGGGTAAATTAAATTAGAATGTGGTTTATTTTCAGAATTTTAACCAATTCTCATTTCTTCCTGTTTCTCACTATTATATAAAAATTCATTCTTTGTATAAGCATGTAAAATGTTGAGAAAGGAAAAAGTAAATATTGCACATTTAATGACCAAAATAAAACTGTGGAGTTTTTTTGTTTTGTTTTGTTTTTGAGACAGGGTCTCACTATGGAGTTCAGGCTGGTCTTGAACATGTGGCAATCCTCCTGCCTCAGCCTCCTGACAGCTGTGATTATAGGCATGAGCCACCACACCTGGCTAACACTGTGGATTTTTAAAGGTCATGTTAGACAAGTGGGAAGGAAGAGTTGAATACACTAAAGTACTTATCTCCAACAGAGTGGTTTTTAAATCCCTAAAAGAATTCTCAGTGCTCAGTGAAAGATATTACATTGGTACACTTAAAAAGTAAGTTATAACCAACAAAATTTCTTAGCAAATTCATTATCCCAAAATAAGATCAGTAGCTTAATTTTTTTCAGGTTATTCTCATCAGAAATCAGGAACCCATCCAGAGTGAAGGAAATGTTCTAGACCACAGGATGCCTGAGCCTGCTCTAGAACACATCATCACTGTAGAGCAGAACAAAGTGAGGACCAGTGCCCCTCTCTTAAGTCGAGAGCTTTACCCAGCTCGATCTAGACACAAATGGAAGATCACAGAAGGGGAGTTTTTCTTGTAAAGCAACACACTAATTTCCCACTGTATTCTCCATTTTGCTTAATAAGACAAGAAAATTGAGCAGAAAAACAATCAGCTACTAAATCAAAATAAGCTGTAAAATTGGCCCACAATGAAGAGCAGACAGCAGTAAAAGATTTAGAGGCAGAGCGAATGCCTACTCCTTATGCAAACATGCAAGGTGACCAGCAGGTGGTAGCCCCAGGTCTGGAGTTTGAACTTACCACAGTTTAACACTGCAACTGTCAGAGCTGATACTACCTGTGTTCAGAGACGTAAATAAACAGCACTGCTGGGCCCACACAAGTGTGACTAATGCCAGGACAGGAACCAGGATAAGGCAATCAAGACAACAAAGGCTTTTCGAAAAGACCACAAAGCACTCTTGGCATCTACAAATGATGACTCAAAATTTTTACCCTCTATGCTTCTTTGGTCCTAGGTCTGACGTTGCTACTCCTGGGCACAGTAACATAGAGGGATTTGGGCATTTTTCCCCATGGAAAAGTGAACATCAGGCGGAAAACAACTAATGAGTTTGGGACATTTAGCCTGGAAAGGACTAAAGGTTGGGGGTCAGTGGGGTCAGAGATGTGACCAGAAGAGAAATGTCTATTGAGAGGGGAGCACAAGAACAGTCCCTATTTGGAATGTTTCCAGGAAGATCCACAACCAATAAGGGAACATTACAAGGAGACATCTTGGCTTGGTATAAGCAGGACTATGAGCGCAGGACATTGGCCAATGGAGGGGAGACTGAGGATTCCCACTGAGAGAAAGGTGAGCCTAGGAGTATTTACTGCCTTCTCTCACTTTCCATGTCTGTGATCCCAGAACATTTGCTTCCTGTTCCAGAAAAGGCAGTTTTGGGAAGAAAAAATTCAATGAAATGAAGTGTATCACCTTCATTCAAGTAGAAGAAGGGCACAGACAAGCTTAACTTGTAAGACACAGGCACGTTGGTTTTAGTGATTACTCATGAGGAACATGGAAAGTTAGGCTAGGGTGAGGTTGAGGGTTGTATTTTCTGCACTAGATTTCCTCCATATAAAAGAACAGAGAGACTTAGACATAACCTTGATAAAGTGGAGGCATTTAGTGGCTGAGCCAACACACTGATCATGAAACTGAGAAACCAGCCATGTGGGGAGCTGAGAGCAAGTGTGCAGGACTATGGGCCCCTGTTCCACCTGCTACTGTCACACTGTGCAGTAATGTGGCAGGACCTCTCTGCATTAACACCCTGTATTGTCCAGGGTGTTTCACTGTTCTAATCAAGAGTGGAGCAAGGAAATGGGGGGGATCCAAGCCACTTCTCTACCTCATGTTTCTACTGCAGGATGAGCTACGATGAATGGGGAAGAGGCACTTTTCACTGGGACCTGCCTTGTCTTTCTCCCAGAAAGTATTAGACACTGCTGGCCACAGTGTAGGAATTGAGCATGCAATGGTCTGCCTTCTACACCATTCAGCCCATAAGCAGGCCTTGGTCTTGCTTCATCCCAATATCCACATGCAGCACCAGTCACTGCCTCTGAAAGTGTGGCCCTGTGCTCTCCGGAGGTTTACAGTCTTTTTAAGCAAAGGCGCATTCCCAGGCGAGCAATGGGCAGGATGGCCTGCCTGCAGCCTTCCTCTCTGGAGGCTTCCATGCTCCCAACTAGCCTAGTGTCTGGAAAGCCCGTTCTTAGCCCAGGAACCTAGGACTAATAACCCTGCTAATCCTATGTTAGATGTGAAGCAGTAAAGAGTAAGCACTTTTATTGACCCTCTCTGAAAACAAAGTTATAATGTCGAAATAAATCAGATGACATCAGGCATAAAATCAACATCAACCTTAACAGGAACACTTCCCAAGTTCATGTGGTATTACTGTAATTCAGATCTGAATCCATCACAACCAAAGATTGATTTTATTTTTAATAATTTTTATATATCAAGTACCTTATAAATATTATAAACTTTCAAAAATTAAGATTAATCATAATTATCTTTAAAATGTGCATACTTCACTCAAACATTTCACATTCTAGGATATCAATAATTTCATCCTCCTCAAAGAAAACAGCACGTATTTCCTGTCCTAAAATACTGCTGCCAAATCAGCCAATTAAACTGTCCACAGCTTCTAAAATTTTCTGATGTATAGGAGGAGAAGATGATTGATTTGAAAAGGGAGAGAAACAAAAATAAGGGAAGATAAGATGTGTTCCTGTGAGATGACTCCCCGTGGCCTACAAAAGTCGGACACTGAACAGAGATGTTCTTTGTCAGAGCTCCAAGGCAGAACTGTTCTGTCCAATAAAGAAGAGTTCCTACGAACTTCCAAATGTGAGGGGAAGTACTCTGAAAGGACATGTGGGAAGAGAGTAGCATCTTGTTAACTATGTTCCTATCTCTCTCTAAGAGATGTTGGTGACCCATTAGATATTTTTAGGTAAATATTCTTGGGCTAAAGACAAATCATAAACAAAGACACATTATCTAAGCTGAACAACAACAACAAAAAATCCATTTTGAGTTGACAGAATTACAAATATGTTGACAGAAGGCAAATTGCTAATTCCCAGGGGAAATAATATGAGCAAGAAGATATCAAAAGAACAATGCAAAGTTGTAGGCAAGTTGTGATAATGAATGGTTAAAAGAGACAGAAGGCACATGGCTATTCAAAATAGGTAAATTTTAGAAATTCTCCCAACCTGGCCCAGTTTCCAGGACAAGTATTTCAGCAGGTCCTCAAGCTTCATTTGAGTTTAAACGTGGAGGGAAGAAACAAGCAGGCAATAGAGAACTAAGTCCCCAGTTTCCTTCTTGACCACGGGGCATTCAAATTGCAAACCTGGTGTCTGTCATGGGTTGCGACTTCAACATCAACAGGGCCAAGGAAGCAATATAAACAGGGGAACCCAAGGGAATGGAGGGACCTGGTAGCTGGAAGGAGTCAGCCCAGTCTGCACTCCCCATCCCGTGGACTAAATAAAACACGTGTGCACAACATGGTCATCACAGAGCACCAGCCTCGTCACCCAGGTCCAACAGGGGCTCCTCCAGGGGCATACACGGCTAATGGAAGCAGGCATGTCACCATCTCTGCTGTCCACTATAATCAAGAGTAAGTGGCCATGCTTTGCACATGCCTCACTTTCACTAATTCAGCATCTTTATATCCCTTCTGAGAGAAATAACATACTTTTAAGATGGTGTATCTCCTCACATTTGAGAGATGCAGAAATTCTCAAAGTTGACTTTTTTACACTGGAAGAATATAAATGGGGTTCAAAACAAAGGGCTCTATATGACTCCCAAAGCAGTCATATCTGGCACAGGAGTCCTGACATTTAAATAAAATGGGAGAGAGAAGTGGAGACATATAAAGAACTCTATCTGGGGGCCTTGTGAGGTGACTGGGACATTCACCAACTGTTAGTGGTTCGGTACCCAAGTGGAACTATTTGTGATGAACATAATTAAAAAGCCCCCAGAAAGTTTTAAGAGATAAGAACTTACACACATGCATGCAAGCATACATACTCACACACCCAAGAACTAGCTAATGGCTCCCAGTCAACTACTTCTCGGTTGAACTGGGCTCTGCAGTGAAACTGAGCAATTACTTTTGCAAAGCAAAGTTAAATGTAAACATAAACAACAATGAGGTTTTTCAGGAGCCTTAGTGTTACTATCGTATGTTATCCAAATAATGCACTTCAGGATAGAGACCATTAACGAGAAGAGCCAGGAAGCTTTTCCCATCTTGGAGACAATGTCCGGGATGCTTTATAAACTGGGCAGCTTGCAATATCTGATCCTGGTATTCAATATACTGCTTACTCAGTGTTATGGACTCAAGAGCAGCCAGAGCCTAGAAGACAAGACAGACAACAGGTTACAGATGCACATCACCAAGTACCCCAGATAGAACGGACCTACCAGGATCACCTGGTTCCACCATGAGCCTCAGGGGAAGGAAGCCAACAAAACCAGAGTCAGGAGTTCAGAAGGCAGACGCTGATTAACCCAGACCAGAGGGAAGCCTGCAACTCAACCCTCTCTCCTTTGGCAGCCTCCTTCAGTGCTGTTATCTCCCTACCCTGTCTTGCCAAGAGCCACAAGCAGCAGCTAGGCTGGTCTTACTGCCCACCAGCCACACCTATTTTCCCCGAAACTGCCCTGTCCTCCCCACCAAACATTGGCACCTTCCCTTCTCAGGGCTCAATAGGAAACCACAGGCACAGGTGCATCTCACTAAGGTGAGACCTGTGTAGTCTAGCTGTTGGGGTGGTTCTTAGGTTAGAAAATAGTACCATATTAAACTGACTAACTGAATGAAATTCTAAAGAAAACAGCTAAGTGCTGCCACAGGTAAATGATACGGTCACTGAATCAGCCAACAAGCATAAAGTACAAGTCAGTGCCTTCCAATTCCACATAACAAATACTACAGAGCTAAGGGGAGAAAATGTTCTCACATCTCTCTTCAAAGAAATGAAGAAAGAAAAATGTTCTATGGTTCCATAATTTTAATTTTTCCTTACTTCATAGAAGAGAAGGAGAAGAGACTATACATGAAGAAAGCAAAAAATTAGAGGAGTGCTCGGGGTGGGGTTTTGTTCTCCCAACACACAAACTCATCCAACCTCAAGGTTCTGAAAGCATCTTCTCCCCAGTGGGGCATACCCACCCCAGGTCCCTTCCTGTCCCAGGGATGGGAACTGCAACACTAGAAAATATCTATTACATTTTGGAATTTACTTGGTTCAGAAAACCAGGAAGGAATATTTTTTTCTTTTGAGCCTGGTAAATGAAATGGAAGCTTAGAAATAAATTACCAGGAAGGCTGTGTAGAGTTCAATCTAAGAACAGGAATCAAAGGGGCCAAAACCAGGTGTAGTAGCACATGTCTGTAATACCAACAATCTGGGCAGCTAAGGCAGAAGGATCAAAAGTTCAAGTTCAGCCTAGGCAACTTAGCCACTTAGTGAGACCTATATCAAAATTTAAAAAGAGCTAGGGAAGTAGTTCAATGTAAAGGTCCTCAGTTCAATCCCTATACTGCCAAAATAACAGTGGCAGGGAGGAGGCGCAAGACACTCTCATGAATAATAATGTCTCTCTCCACCCCTTTCTTAAAATTTAGCCCCCCAAATGGTCCACTGTGATAGCTTGCATAAGATTAATGGTTTTGAGAGCTGGGGATTTAGATTAGTGGTTCAACTGCCTGCCTTGCAAGCACAAGGTCCCAAAACAAAAAAACCCAAAACCAAAACAAAACAAAATAAAACAAAACAAAAAAACATTAATCATTTGGTAAAATGATGGCTTTTTCCAAGTCTAGAAAATCCCAACGGAAGTATGCAAGGGACATGCATAGTGTCATTACTTTGAGTGTGATTGATGGAAGGTAGGCAAAGAGGGGGCCGGTGACCTGTGGCCACAGCTAAAGCAAGTTGCTGATGATGCTCCACATCTGGGGGCCACAGGAAAGTAGAACACTCCTCAAATATAGCCTGAAATGTATCTCACAGGCTTCCCCACCTGCCTCGTGAAGACTCACCCACCTGCCACAAGTTACAGGAATGGGATCACTGCCACGTCTCCAGCCACGTTTTTAGAATAAACTGTAAACTTCTCACAGCTGCCATTTTGTTGCTACTGGGTTATTCCAGCACTGGCCAACATTCACACTTACAAAACAGGTAACTATCTTCCAATAGAGAGGGCACACCAAAGGGAACACTATCATGCCGTCAAGTGTGCAGGCCAGAACTGCCACCTCCCCTCCTTCTGCGGAAGGTGTGCTACAAAACTGCTTAACCCTTAAGTGTTAAGCTGTTTTTACTGACCTGCTGAGCTTTTGGGCTAAGATGTAATTCAGGGCCAGGCTTCAAACGGATCTGGTCTTCTGTAAGAACCTGCACTGAAAGGAAGGCAGCCATGCTTCGAGCAACCACTCGGAACCTGGGATGTCAGGGAGAGGTCAGAAGAAGCAAGTGACTGTTCAAGTAAGCATTTAAAAATGAAGTCTTTTCTATGAAAAACAAAAGAAGATAACTGCACTTCCAGATCTACCATATAGTAAGCCTCTTCAGGAAAATCAAGTATGATCCAAGAAACAGCTTTAATCTTCCCTTCCATTATTACCACCCCCAAAATGTGTGCATACTTCAGATTCAAGAAAGAAAGTGTTGGCAAAGATGTGGAATGACTGAAATCCTTATATATGGCTGTTGGGAATGTAAACGGTGCAGGTGCTGTGAAAAACAGTTTGGTACTTCCTTAATAAGTAAAACAGAGTTGTAACATGACCCTGTGATTCCATTCCTTTGTACATATCCACAAGAATTGAAAACAGTTGTGCCAACAATGGTTTGTACATTAATGTTTCTGGCAGCATTATCACGATAGCTGAGTGAACAATCCAAATGTCCATCAGTTGATGGATGGAAAAACAAAATGTGACAGATGAACATGACAATATTATTCAGCCATTTTTAAAAGGAATAAAGATGAACCTTGAAAACTTTATACTAAGTGAAAGAAGCCGAACCAGAAGCCACATACTATATAACTCTATTTTATGAAATGTCCAAGTAGAATTTAATACATAAAATCATAAAGTCAACTAGTGTTTGCTAGAAACTAAGGAGAGAAAGGGAATGGAGGTGATTGTTTAATGGGTACAGGGCTTCCTTCTGGGGTGATAAAATGTTCTGGAAACTGACAGTGATGGCTACAGTACTATGACTGTATTGTAACTGAACTGTACATATTAAAATGGTTATCGTAGTAAATTTTAAATGATGTATATTTTTCCACAACTTTTTAAAAAGAATAAAAGGACTTGGGCCGGGGATTTAGCTCAGTGGTTTCACCACCTGCTGCGCAAGCACAAGGACCCAAGTTCGATCCTGGGTACCAAAAAAAAAGGAATAAAAGGACTTGATTCAAGCAAAACATATACAAGCCCAATTTAAGTAGAAAAATAAGAATTTTGCCAAATTTCACCATAAATAAAGAAGCATGAGGTTAACTGGTGTAGAATAAGTGGCTCCCAATATGATAAGCTATCCCACAAGAAGACTGAGGTCCAGAATTGTATGAGAATTCCTTTCAACACTTGACAGGCTTGAAAATAAAATCATGACACAAGCTGGGGATGTGGCTCAGTGGTTGAATGTGTACTTAACATGCATGAGGCCCGGGGTTCAATAAGAAAGAGAGGGAAAAAAGAAAAGAGAGCTAGATAACAGGGAAGGGAGGGAGGAAGAAAAGAAAAAAGGAAAGAAAAACATGATATAAATAAGTATTACAAGATAGGATAGAAAGATAATGGCAAATTCTTTCACACATTGAGATTTTTAGCAACAAGACCTAGACTTCTTTCTCTTTACTTATTAACAGACCTCAACACATCTTAATGACTTAGGGGTTCACTAGAATCCCTCACAAGTTCTAGAGGATTAAGTGCCCACAATGAAGCAGATGACTGACTAGGATTTTGTTTTTTGTACCAGGGATCAAACTCAGGACTTTGCACTTGCGAGGCAGGTGGCAGCACCACTGAGCTAAATCCCCGGCTCTGCCTAAGGTATTTTAACCTACCTGTACACCATCACTTTTTGGCTCAAAACCAAAAAGAAATCAGTACTGCAGTTAAGCTACAAAGTCAAAATATAGGAGAAACTACTAAAATATACTATTTAAACTTAAAAATAAAGTCATTATGCAAGAAAAAAATGCTATTTTGGCACACAAAGATGTAATCAGACTTCAATGTTTCCCGTGTCACATCAGAAGCCTACTGTGAACAGCAATAGGTGTTCCTTACCTGTTGGACAAGGGTGACTTCCGGCCCAACCCGATTGCCCCCAGAATCCCCGAACTGAGCCTTTCCTCAGCCACAAGGCTCTGCCTATTCTGAAGCATGAGCAGAATCCGGACAACAGATTCTGTCAGGACCAAGTCGTTTTGCTCCATCTGAATCAGGGACAGCTGTAGGACTTGATGCCACCACAGAAACAGCTTTGCCTCTTCCTGTGAGGAGCTGTGGGAGATACCAGAAGAAATAAAATCAGAAGTGGATTTTTTCCATTCACATTTAACTGAAAGTCTGCCTTTGAGTTTGATGTAAAGGGAATTGTTAGGACTTTAAAAGCCTAAGCTGTTTATTTTTCAGTTTCCCATATAAGAGAAACAATGTGATATTTAAGCTTGTGTGTTTGATTTATCACACTTAACATTATGGTCTCAAGGTGCATCCATTTTCCTACAAATGACTCAAGTTTATCTTTCTCTATGGCAGAGTAGTACTCTATGGTGTGTAAATACCACATTTTCTTTATCCATTCATCTGTTGACGGACATAATGGGCTGCTTCCAAGATTTAGCTATTATGAATTGTGCTGCTATGAACATGGATGTGCATGTATCACTGTAATATGATGTCTTTAACTCTTCGGGGAAGATATCTAGAAGGGGAAGAGCGGGTCAAATGGAATTTCTAGTTTACTTTGAGGAATTCCAGATAAATCATTCTCAAAGGGGAAGATGATCAACAGATGGAGGGAGGGAGGAGGAAGGAGGGAGGGAGAAAGGGATAAGAAATGAAATACAGAAATCGGGATGTGTTATGTATATGTATCAACTCCACACAAGGAATATAAACATTATATACTGCAAACATGTACCAAAAAAAAGGAAGGGGCTCAAGGGAAGGAAGAGGGAGGGAAGGGAAAATGGATGAAAAAAGGAATTAAGATTTATTATGTACATGTACCAACTTCCCACAAAGAATGTAAACATTATATACTATACCCATGTACAGTACTAATAAAAAAAAAAGCCTTGGGTGATGATGTTAATAAAATGTTAATGTTATTAAAATAACAGAATTGTCACAGCTACCATTTATCAAACACTTACTCCATGCCAGAAATACTGTGTCTTGGCTTTATGTTCAAAAATTTCACTTTATCCTCATAACCCTAGGCTAAGGATTATTCTCTCTACTTAACACAGAAAAACTGAAGCTTGGTGATTAAAAAATGCTTGTTTTAGAATGGTGATGGTGAACCTTTTAGAGCTTTCAATGATATAAACAGACCACTGCAGCACACATATCATAGGTTTGCCACTATTTTAGGACATAAAAAATCTGCTCAGAAAATTAGCCGATCAATGTAAGAATCTGTCCCAAATAAGTATCACTATATCTCATAACCTTGTTAGTTTTTTACATGTCACTTGGTTCTGTGCCCTTAAATATACACTAAATTCCAAGTTAATCAAACACAAGTTTGATACAGCAGCCAGCAGGCCAATGTACCTTGGATACACTTGTTCCAACCACTTGCTGAGGAGCAGCAGCACTTTCATTTCATTCCGTAAAGTCTGTTCACTGTTTAAACGCTGAAGCAGGTAGACATACAGAGTCAAGTAACTGCCAAGCGCGAGGCACTCCTGTAGGAACTCTTCAGTAGTGAGCTCAGGTACTTGAAGAGACACGAGGATGGGCCCCCATCCTAAATTTTGATTGAGGGAGCCTAAGAACAAGACAGGAATCATAATATACGCAAAAGTCTAATTATTTAACAACTCTAATAAATCTTTCTTTTCATGTTAGGACAATAATTCTCGCAGTGATCCTACAGACCACAAAAGTCAAATGTACCCTGGAACTTCAACTGAAAAGCCCTCATGCTCAATGCCACTAGAGGGGATTAGGAAGTCAGAACTTGGGGCTGCATATTTATAAATCACCTTTCTCATCATGTTATGATCATTAACATCTTCTGCAGTGGTCATCTAATAGTTTTAACTTTAAAACTATTTTTAAGTATGTATAAATGCACTTCTCCAAGGAAAACTGTTATCACTTGATGCATCATACATATTTTACGTACCAAAGCTTAGCTCTTATTTTGATAGAAACTTTGATTTTTAGTAACAAAAATTTAAGAGTATTATTCCAACGGTTCTTAACTTTTGGGGAGAATAAAGGTTGGGTACCTAGAGACATGCACAACATGGGTGGACACAGATGGTTCGTGGATTGTCAGGATAAGACACATGGGAGGTTTTAGGCACCTTTACTGGATTCTTGCCCTGATATCCTTTTTTCTCTCTCACTATCTGTAGTATGTGTATCTGGATACCACAGTTGAGAAGGGCTGTTCTAAGCAACTTTTACTAATCAGACTAAGTTGTCTCAAGAGTCTGAGAGTTTAGAGGCAGAGGTAAGAAAGATAAAAGGAACGGTGGGGCACAGGGGAGAGTGACCCCTTCATATAGTTTAAAGAACATGACAAGAAACAAATAAAAAGATTCTATGAAAATTCATTTACCAAAAGTGACCCAAAAGGGGGAAATTTAACACAGTAAATCATTAGTATAGAGATTCTGGTGTACAACATTTATTTTGAGGACTATGATTCTGCCTAGCAGAATAGAACCGGTCTGATATGCTAAAACCAATACAAAATAAATTAAGCTCTTCTCCCTTGAAATGTGTGATTATACCAACAGACATGGGCCAGAGGTCTTCATGCTAAGAACAGATCTTTCTTTATGGGTCTTCATGCTAACTACAGATCTTTTTTTATGGGGAAAGAAAAAAATATTTATACATATACATATACATATATATGTCTCCATCTTTCCCTGGGAAGTCTGGAAGGATACCTCCTGATGAAAAGACTTTAACCTTTCCTGGGAAAGACCAACACAATGAGAAGAGAAGATGATATCCTCTTACTTTCCTTGAAGTAGGCAGTGATGCAGGCTTCTGTAATCTCTGCCATGTGGTGAACAGAAGCCAGGCTCTGGCAGGCTGCTGTTAAAAGAGGCAGCACCACCAACCCATGGACTTTTTGGCCAATCCAGGTCCGAATACTGCTCCGCAGGAACTCAGCCGTTGGGATGGTTGCATTGTTCATCATCATTAGCACTTCCATAAAGAGGCTGCTGAGGGCCATGTGGCAGGCTTGGCTGTCCATGTCTGAAAGGGAATACACACACACACACACACACACACACACACACACACACTCAAGCAGCTGCAATGTGATCGGGGACAACAGGAATGATCATAAGGAAAACTGGTGCTTCAATTGTAATTGCTCTCTGGGGACCAAAAGAAAGACTCCGGATGGTGTTTGGCTTTTATGGCTACATACGGCACATAAGTATTTTGTAAGAGCAAACTACTAAGAGTTCTATGGGTATAGCAACGTGACAGAAGAATACCTTAAAAAATGCACATATATCAAGCTGATGTGAAAGAGTAAATTTATCAGAGCATGACTAATTACCTTTATTTTCCAAGTTTTGCATGAGCAAAACTTGATAGATCTCAAGATTGGCATTTTGGAGATCTCAACAGTCAGTTTGATAAACTAGTTAGCAACAGTAACCCATGCCCTACCACAGCCACTGCCAAGGCTATCATCACTGCAGGGTGATTTACACAGAATCAAGGTTATTAGTTAAAACTAAACATAAAAATAAGGAAAATCTTTTTAAGGTTCCTAACAGTAGCTCTTCTTGTCATTTTTTTTTTTTTTTAAAGAGACAGGGGTCTATGTTGCCCAGTCTGGACCAAAACTCTTGGGCCTACAGGCACATGCCACCACACATGGCTATTTGTTTTTTTAAATAAAAAGAGCAATCATTTCATAAGGGAATTGCACAGGAGGATGTCACTGAGACAGACTCCTTCACACCACAACAGAAAATACATGTTACTGCGAGGTTTAATAGGCATAATTTTTGCCAACTATTTGTAGCTCTCCTTGAGTTAGGTACTTATTTTTTTAATAGAATAGAACTGAGGATTCAGTACTTGTCAACAGGAAGAGTAAGAATTTGGGAGATCTCCCTCATCATATACATCAAAACAAACTCATTATTTACTCAGTGTTAAATAGACTCTAATTTAATGTTACTGTAGGATCTATTATCAGATAAGGACTTAAAAAAAGAACCTTAAGGAGACAGAAAATAACAGTATGTGTAATTTATTTTTTTCATCTATTTCTATGAGTATTCATATTATTCTTCGTAATAAAGGCCTTATCTCAATTTCAACTGAGTAACAATTTAAATTTTAATTTACCTTTTAAGTATGACACATAGGGAGAAATCATGGCAACAAGCCTCAAAACAGACCCCAGCCTGTTTATCCTTAACAGGGCCAACAAATGTTTCCCTGAAACTATCTGATCCTCTTACTCTTTTGACTAGTCTTTCTAGAACACCCTTGCTCACTTTCCCTGGCCAGCTATTATTCAACCTACGTGGCCCAATGATACATAACCACCTCCATCACTTTCTCTGGCACTGCCTATGATCCTTCCTTTCCTCCCTCCTTCACTCTCTCTCTCCTCACTTCCCCCACTCTCTCCCTCTTTTTTCTCCTTTCTTTCTTCCTTTTTCTTTCACAATCTATATAGTATGAATTCTTGCTTCAAAACCACATGAGCTTGTATTTATCAATTTTCAAAATAAATCCCTGCCACACAGACAGCTGGTCCAACATCAAGGTGAGAAGAGGTAACTGTCTGTGCTCTTCTTACAGGGGCATGCTGATTTTTGGCTCATTGTTACAGTAAAGATGTGAGAGCTCTGTGGCTTATGCATGGAGTCTCCTTTTAGGCTCCCACCTGGGACAGGCCCTGGGCCTCATCAGCTCCCCATAGTGTCCTCAGAAGGTATAGATGAAGCCAACCTCAGTACTTCATCTACCTTTATAGGCTTATCCTTTCACTTTGTTTCTGGTCTCTGACACATCCTTTTGCCATTCCATTTGTAAGTTTATTTTTTGGTTTCTTAAAAACTTTTTATCCAGTCTTCTTGGTTGTTTTTCCCAGGAAAGGCAGTCTGGATATCTAGTCTACCAAGCTCCTAGCAGCAGATATGCTCTCTCTATAAACTATCCTGACAAGTCAACAGCTAATTCTGAAAGACTCTCCTAGTTAAGACCAAATGCTAAGAAGGCTGCTTTCTCAAAGGTCTCCTACTAACCCCTCATCATCAAATCCAGGCACCCTGCTCAAACCTCAGTCCAGGTCACCTCATGCCAGCATCTTCCAGGGTCAACCCCTCCTCAAGTTCTTAACACTCATGCTTTCCCCCAGCATCTGAGTGTCCCGGGTCCAAAGAGCTATGACTACCACTGCTTCTCTGGACACAGGAATGACAGGGTCTTGCCCATCTTCCCCATCCACAATGCCTCATACATGGCAGAAATTCACTGCATGAATACATGACTTCCCACTGGTCACTTACCAGGTGGATTAAAGACAATGATATCATCTAAGAGCTTAGATATTTCTTGCTCTAGGACTGCAAAGGTGATTTTTCCATTTTGTTCCAGGTCACTGAGAAACTGAACCATCTGATGAGTGAAAGCTTGGCATTTTGGAACTATATCCTGACAAAAAGAAAAAGGATCATTCAAGTTAATCCAAGCAAGACTGTCAACTGAGTGTATCCTGGGAACATGGCACTGCACTGACGCTTGGGTAAGGATGAGTGGGGAAAGAACAAGAAGCCACTCAAAGGCCTCATCCAGGTGGGCCAGGGGACCTGTGTTGGGGGGATATGAAAGCCCCTGTTCTCCCAGGTTATGCAGAACACTCCTCCCACCCCTTACTACATTAATAATGACACTAAGTAAACAATGATTGTTTGCCAGGAACTTTTCACAAAACTTATGTGCTCAACCCTCACAACATACTCTGAAGCAAGGTATTTTCAATTCAGAAGAGAAAACTAGGACCTCCTCAAGGTCAGAATGGCAGTTAGTTGAAATCTGAGTCTGTCAGACCTAAAGCACATATCATCACTGTCCCTGCCACTCTGCTGTGACATTCAGATAATGAAACTAGTTAGCCTACTGCCTTGCCTCAATCTACTCTGATCTTATCAACGTGTGATACTTCTAGGAAGTAAAGTCTTACCAAAAGAAGGGAATCAAACAAAAGGGTCCAAGAGGCCAACATAAACTCACAATGACACATAGCCCCTAGCTTTCTCTGCTGGGCAGTCAGCAGGTTCAAGACTATCCTCAGTAGCACTTATGGGGCTTCCAGTCCCAAAGAACATCCCCTGCCTTTTTAACCACCCTCTCAACTTACAAGATGTTTCTGGCCCTCAGTATGAATGGAAAGGCCTGCAGCCACTTTCAGGAGCTTCACAATCAATTCAGCAGCAGGTTCTTTTGCGAGGATGATGGATGGAGGGTAATGGCTGCTGAAATAACCTAATACACTCTGGTATGACACAATATCCACAAGGTGCCACGAAAGTGAGCTAGTTTGTCCAAGGAGACTAAGTAAAGGTGAATCCTAGAAATGAAACACAGACTGTTAGACCATTTTAGTTCCAGAGCCCCTACTTTCCCCAGAAATATGTGTCTCTAGTCTGTGAAAGAACCACTAAGCTGGCCTATGATAAGGACAGAACAGTGATGATGTCAAGTAAGTTAACTTAACTTATTAGCATTAGGGGAACCAATAACTAAAATCGAAGTAAAAACACATTAGTATTAAGATCTGAAAGCACATTCGGAACCCAATTTTCAAGGGAATTCTGCTCTGGTGGTATATTCAACAATGACCTCAAGAACACAGTACATTAAAGTAGGAATTACTGAGATGTAAAATAAAGTTGATTAATATATTCTAACTCTGTGGGGTTCTCTTCACAAGTTAGACCCAGAAATGGGCTATCCAAGAGAAATCAGGGCCTAGCTAAAGGCACATCTCATGTTCCAAGCATCTATTCATACTGACAGAAGTGCTGGGGAAACAAATGAAAACCACAACCTAGGAGAAAGTGAGGAGCTAAGACGCCAAGTCTGAGAACAAGCTCCCAAACTTACTGTTTGGTCTACCAGCTGAACTTCCTTTGCCAGTAGAATCATCATGAACAGAAGGCAGACAATCATGCTCTGAGTTTCAGGCTGGGGACTGGGACTCCAGGCATCAGACAGCACACTAACCCAATTGACTTCACAGAGTACAGACCCAAAAAACAAGAAACAGCTCTTGGGGCTTCCTCGTTCCACCTAAACGGAAATTTGTGGAAGTCAGTGTTTTGTTTTTTGCCGTTTAATAGATCTTGAAAATGTGTGTAAATCAATGTCTTATAAATTATATTTTATAAAAAAAATTTTCTCAGATTATAAATATCCTCATAATCCTTCCAGAGATTTAAACATTTGTTGTAACTTTCCTTCCTTGCTCAGTGTATGTGTACATTTTTGAGCTAGCCCATTTGGATTTTGTTACCTGCTCCAATAATTCGAAATAAGAGAGGAAAACCCTTCCCCAATCCCAACCCAGGTGGAGATTCCCTGCCACAGTGAATCACTGAGCTGCAGGAGTGCCAGAGTCCTAAGGTATGCTGGCAAAGGACAAAAGTGGAGCTTTATTTTGATGTCCATGAGACCTCACTTGGAGAACTGTACATTAGTATAATATTTAAACCACTTTTTTAATGTAATGTTATAAAAATGTTTCCATGTCATTCTATTATTAATGACTGCATCAGTGCTTAAACTCTGTTAAGAGATTTTTGGGGGGGTGTATACTATAAAACATATAATCAATCTTCAAGTTATATTTTATAAGCTTATTTCAGTATTTCTAATTTCTTTAAAATAAAACATGGCTAAGTCATAAATTTTTCCTTTAAAAATGGAGATTAATGGACTGGGGATATAGCTCAGAGGGGCTGCGCCTGCCTGGCAAGCACAAGGTCCTGAGTTCGATCCCTGGTACCAAAAAAAAAAGATGAAAATTTTGTACTATGCTTACAAAATTACAATGGAATTTGGTGACAATTCACGTCTTCCTCTTACTATATTATATTGCTACTAATTCTCTTCCCTCGTAGAAAATGATTTTTCATCCTCCTTTAAAATCTGTTCTCTATTCTCACCCTCAGCTTTGTCAAAAAATTATATATACGTACATATATATGTACGTATGTATACGTATATACATACATACATATATGTACGTATGTATACGTATATATACGTACATATATATACACACACCTTAGTTCATGAACTTAATTCTTTCCACAATTTTTTTTGAGAAAGGGTCTCGGTATGTAGTTCAGACTGGCCTTGAACTCATTGTGTAGCCCAGGCTGGTCTCAAACTTGTGGCAATCCTCCTGCTTCAGCCTCCCAACTGCTGGAATTACAGGCATGTACCATGACGCCTGGCTCCACAATTCTTGTTGCAAACCAAATTGGATGAGAACCGAATCAAATTTCCCCATAAGGTCAACATTGAACTTGACCACTGAATTTGACTCAGTTCTCATCCAATCTGGATTGTGACCAGAATTGTGGAAAGAATAAAGTTCATGAACCAAAGTACCATTGTATGTATATTATACCAACAAGGCACAAAAAATTTAAAAGATTCCAAGCTTTGGGCAGGTCAGAGGCATCCATCATTAGTATAAAATCTGTAGAGACAGGGTCTATAGCATCACTTGCCAGACCAATTCACTATTAATCAGTCTTAATCACTATTTAATCAGTCTTAGAGTGAAGGTCACCTTCTTACTTAGTAGAAACCCAAATCTTACAGCTCTTTAAGCCAGGTTTCATTTTTATAATGGTAATTAAATATCTACTTAGTGCCTGCCTCATCTAGTAAGCCAAGCTATAAAAACACTATGAAATTTTATATTTCTCTAAAACAAGTGCTCTCAGCTTCCCTTGAGCTTGGCTACAGAGGAGTGGTTATAAGAGCAGCACTGGGTGAGGTTTCCCTAAAGCACTTAAAAAGTACGTTTTATTAATCATCATAAATAACTGTAGATCTGTATCAATTAAAACATTTAAGGTGTCTCAATAATAAATATGACATTAAGACTGAACACAAATCAACTGATGACTAATCAACAAATGAAGTGAAACTATTGTACAACTCTAAGCAACAATTACTGAGAATTTTTAAAATAGAAACTAAGAACGACAAAACCAGCTCCAAATGCCTGACTGCAATGTCTTTTTTTGTAAGGATCGCTTCTACTGAAGACTCACACGTATACTTATTGGCACTTTTTTCAGATCATTTTAGTGCCTTCTATAATCACAATGCATTATTTGTTACAATGTATTTTATTGCCTATAATCTAATTTTTCACTCATATAACTGCTAAAAGAAACTAATGGCTTGGGTACCAATTCACATTTTTGCTTTAGTAGAACATTTAACAAGTAGCTCAAATGACACTAGACTAAGTGAGACAATGTACTCACACAATGACCTATGTACCCACACAACATTATTACTAAAGTCTAGGCAATGACTGACCTTTTAAAGACAAAATCTTAGACCATAATGCTAAGTGAAATAAATGAGACACAGAAGTTAAGAAGTGCATAGTTTCTCTTATATGAGAAACCCAAAATATAAGTAATTTAAAGAGCAAAATAAAGGACAGATGATAGGAAACGGGAGGGGATTGGAAGGTGGGCAAGGGAAAGCCAAGTGAAAATGATTAAGATGTGATATGTATATGTAACAATTCCCCAAGATGAATGTAATTACTATGTATTACAAAGATATACTAATAAAAAAGAACAAAAATATAAAGTAAAGACAAAATCTTTCTCTGGGTTTTGAAATTGGTAAGGTGTTTCCCAATCATCCATTAACAAACACAATGAAGTTATTTCCACGGCCTGCTGCAATCCCCAAGTACCACTGAGGTGGCATGGAATGTGCACACAGCCCAATTTGGCACAGGTTGTCCCCATGCAGAACAACCAGGGTGAACAGACTGCTCCCTAGAAGCAGGTCTCTAGGCTGTGACAAGAGGGTGAAGGGCTCACTTTGAAGAAGGCCTCCATGAGCAGATGGTCAGGATGCAGATCTTTCCACTGGAGCTTCCGGTAGGCACTATGAAAAGCATACAGAATGAACTCTGGCATTTTGGGTGCTGTACATGCCTCACAGTAATGCATCAGGTGCAGCCGAAGGGCTCCTTCATTGCCTGGCGACAGCAAGTCTGGAATTTTAAAAGAAAATGAGTATGTATATGAAAGCCATTGGTTTGTATATTTGTTATGGATGGATGGATAGATTTTTTTCGAGACAGGGTCTCATTATGTTCCCCAGGCTGGCCCTGAATGTGTAGTGATTCTCCTGCCTCAGCCTCTTGAGTGCTGGGATAACAGGTGTGTGCCACCACACCCAGAAAGATTTGTTTTTTTAAAATGAAGCTATTGGGCCAGGGATTAGCTCAGTGGTTCTGCCACCTGCCTCACAAGCGCAAGGTCCTGAGTTCGATGAAAGAAAGAAAGGATAGAAAGAAAGAAAGAAAGAGAGAGAGAGAGAGAGAGAGAAATTTGAACTAAAAGTTTAAAATCTAAAGTTCTCAACATTTACTCAATTTCCAGGATTTTCATGTGCAGGGAAGGGGGAACAGTGGCAGATTGATAAAGTTAAATACTTTACTTGGGCAACTTTGATGAGCAGAAGGTACGGAACAGTTGATAAGTAGCAGTAATCAGCTTTCCTTAAAAACTTCTAAATATATGGCTTTTTAACTCAAATACATTTCTGTACACCACTGCCTGAAGCATGTACTGTCTCATGCATTTAGCGCTTCATTCATTTAGCACCTTGGAGCAACCCAGTATTCCTCAAGAGTAAATGATCTAGACATTTCTCTCTTTTTTTTGGTTCTGGGGATCGAACTCAGATCCTTGTGCTTATGGGGCAGGCAGCAGCACCACTGAGCTAAATCCCCGGCCCTAGACATTTCTCAAAAAATGACAAGGCAAAAAAACTACAGGCATGGTGGTACATGCCTATAATCCTGGCTATTCAGGAAAATGAGGCAGGAAGATTAAAAGCTCGAGGCCAGCCTGGGAAACTTGGTGAAACCCTAACTTAAAGTAAAACGCAAAAAGGGCTGGCAATGGAGCTCAGTGGCAGAGTGTCTCTGAGTTCTATCCCCAGTACCCAAGAGGAAAAAATATAAATATATATACACAAGTGGTCAGTAAGTACTTCAAAGAGTACTCAGCATCACTGATCATTACACAAGATAAGTGCTGGAGAGGATTCAGAGAAAAGGGAACTCTTACACATTGTTGGTGACAATATAAATTGGGACAGCCACTATAAAAAGCAACAGGGAAGTTCCTCAGAAAATTAGGGGTGGGCAATATCTGAAGAGCGAAGAGGTATAATTCTTCCATACCTGATAAATGTAGAGTAACTTCACAAAAAAGATAAGAGGTTACAAACTCAGTGAATAATTGTATTAGCAACCTTTCTTCAATCACAGGTAACTGTCTACCAACTAAAATAAAATTAAATAAAATAGGAAAACAAAGATACACTCATGACTGAAAGATTTAAGAAAAAAATGAATATTAACCAGAGTCATAACTGCATTTCTCTACCTTTAAAATTCTCGTGCAGTGAGTTGACACAGTCGGTGAACAACTGCACAATGCTGGAGGCCACCACAGCATCACTCTCCAGCCAGGGGTAATGCCACTGCTGACTGCTTTAAAGAAAAAAACATGCTTAGAAATTGAAGTTCCCATGATTAACTCACTTTAGTTACCAGAGTCTAGGGCAGGCCTAGGTTCCAGAAAGCACTGTATTATGTAGCCCTAATACATATTTAGACCACTTCAAAGGCTTTAAATTCCTGGAGGCAAACTGTATCATGTAACATCAAGCATATAATTTTATTTCCTCTCTTTCCTACCCTTTGTTCCAGTGCAATTAAGTTTCAAAGACTACTACTTAAATAACCTGAAATTAACATCTTTGTACATCCAGTTTATACCCTTGAACACCTTGGTTACATTTCAAATGACTTACAAAAACACCTTACAGTATCTTCAACAATTTTCTCTACCCAAAGCCCAAAATAAATAAATAATTAAATAAATCCTATGTAACAAGATGGGAAAAAACTTAACAGACAAGAAATGATCAAAGAAATTCTTTACATGAAAATTTAATTTTTGAATCTGGTCTACTAAATCCAATATCAAAATAAGTTCCATTAATTTTCCTTGTAAATAAATAAGCACCCTGTGCTGTGATCAATCTGCAGTCACTACAAAATGCTGAAATTTGTACCTTGTTCAAGGAAAGCCCTCTACTAAATGCAAAGATCCAGAACCTTTCATATTTTCCCTAACATGCTCTTGAAGCAGCATGGGTTTACGCAAAGTCTTGAAAGAGGAGTCAAAGACCTAAGCTTTGGTCTCAGCTTTGGCACTGAACAATCCGCTGAGAGACGAGTAACATATTCACGTTCTTTGAGCCTTAAAATTACTATTTCTGGAAACACCTTATAAAATCTGATTTCTACCACTCTTGTAATTTTTATAAAATTCTTGATAGGTTCACCAGTTTTTCTTTGTATAATTTCAGAGAAAAAACACTCATTAGGCAACTCAGTGTATTTAGACAGCTCTATAGCCCTAAGTATTTTAAGTACTCATGAAATAATGTTTTCATTTAATTACACAGTTTCATGTTTAAAAGGTTATTTTCCACCCAACAATTTGATAGTTACTTAGTTCCTCAAAATAATTGAGCTAGAGGGGAAAATTAAGTGAGACTCCTAATTTGTAGTGTTACATTATCAAAACCTCACAAAGACCTCAGGAGAACAGCACCTGTTTTTCTGAAATCAAGTAACAAAAGCATTCAACTTCTTTATTATGGAAAACTGGAAATGAATGTTCCATTTTGTTCTAAAATTAATATCAAGATACCACTATGCACCCAGCTTAATAATTTCATAAATAGAAAATGTCTTCAGTTTTGTAAACAAGCACTTTCTAAATGTAGATATGACCTGTCACCAAAAATTGTATCTGTGAACTCACTACCTTTACCAAAAATCATTAGAACTTTAAGTAAATCAATGTCAAAGAAATTCAAATATCTGAAAAACAATTACCTTTCATTGTCCTCTAAAACCAGGATCCACGGCTTAAAGAGCTGGATGATTACCGAATGTAAGGATCTCAGCACTGAAACAGCAAAATTTTTAGAGACAAGAAACAAGTTCATCTTTTGTCAGTACCATTGATAATATAAAAAATCTACTTCTTATATACTCATAAACCTATGTTAATAAACAAACAACATACCTATGATAAGTATGTTTGTATTTTCATTTGCTGTAATAAATCTGAGTTAAAGTATTTTTATTTATCACTACACAATGTCATAGGTAATTTTATAACATTATTTCTAAGATAAATGCTTAATATTCAGAACCTTTTACTTAGCTAGGTAAATAAAAGTAGGAAGATTCTTTGAACCACACCGTACAAAGGAAGGGCAGAGATGAGCTGTAGCAAGCATCCTGTATTCACTAAGTAATGAATAAAGCCACAACACATATGTGAACTTGCATCCGTACTATATATTTTCTATTTCCTTTCCTTGACACTTGATATAAATCTTGTCATATGTCTATTCAAATCTCTCCTAATGGGAAAGCAAAACACCCTGTTCCATGTTACAACAGAAATGTGCTACCTGCTTTGTGACTGGCAGATGGGTCTTGGGCCAAGGAGGCCATTTCTGAGTCAATCAGCCTCTTGACAAGGTAGCCCAAGAGTGTCTTCACATGAGCCATGTAAGGATTCCATTTTGAAAATAAACCAAAGCTTTTAAAGTCCAACTTGGATAACCGAAGCTTATAGAAAAAGTCTGAAAGCCACTGTATGGTCTCCATTACCTGGAAGAGATAACCAATCCAAAAATGCTTACTGGCTCTCTACTTTTAGCACAGTATGAAAGACTGTGATAAGAATATGGCAGGCCTTTGACTTTTTTAAATTAATAAATATTAATTGTCAAAATTAATAAGTTTCATGTGACATTCCCATATATGTATACACTGTGCCTTAATCATGCACCCTCCCCTCTACACTCTTTCTCCCCTTCTCCTTTAAGAGCTATAAAGACAAAAAACATGAAAAATAAATCAGCAGGTTTAAAACTCCTTTTCTAGAGCCGTAGAACCTTCAAATAAATCCTCATATGAACCCATAGGAGGTAAAACTGGTAAACTCGGGGTTCTGAGAGACACAGCAGTGGTCTTAGGTAAGTTGGATGGGCTGAAGTGGGCATGGAAGATTTACTCAGGTGGATCCCCAGGCCTTATTTTGGACATTCAGGCAAGAAATAGACTCAGGATTATTAAAAAAAAAAAGCAATCCAGACAAAGGGGATATGAGGGTAGCAAAAGACTGACAAAGAAAATTACAGGGCTCTTAAAGATAATGCACAAAAAGTAGCTTTGTGAATAGAGTATTATCCAAAAGTAGCTTTTAAAAATACTTTTAAATGTGTTCTGTTTAAACACAAACAGAAAGGGAAATGGAAACATACAAATACATTAGAACCCAAAAGTTATGCACCTGTTTGTCTGACAAGAGAGCATCTGAAGTGCCCTGAAGCATGACCCTCTTGGCAGAAGCTGCCTCCTTCTGGAAGCTCGGGGTGCAGCAGCCCAGGGCTCTTAGAGTTGCTTTCCAACACTCAGGGCTCAGCAGCTGCTCTGCAGAGCCTAGGGACCAAGGACAGAGAGAGCAAGTCAGTAATCTTTCCCAAACTAAATTTTTCTACTTGAATCAAAGAACACGATTCAACACGTAATAATTACACACAAATCCAAACCAAACTCATGGGAGTACCTTGGGTAAGAAGACCAAAGTAAAGAGAACCCATAAAAGAACTGACCAGGTAAATATTTCACTTTCCTTGTTTCTGGTAAACTGGGTTGAAAGTGAGCTCTGCCAAAGCCACTAGAGCTAGTCAGGTGGGAAGGCTAACCTCCAATGCTGCCTGAAGAATGAGAAAGGTATCACTTTTCTAGCTGGAAGGTAACGGATTACCTATGAGTATAAGAGAAATAACAGTAAAAGGACAAGGGATATAGGTACAGAATACAACTCCAGAATCCAGCCTCTTGGGAAGAAGTATCCTATTAGTTCAAAAATTCTACTCTTACCAAAGGCAAAACCTAAACCAAGACCCAGAGGTAGCATGTGGAGATCATCAGCTGGCAATCCCAAGTAGACCCAACTCCACTACTTATAAACCTCACATGCCACAGGATAGAACAATACCTCCCCTAAAGTGCTTTCCAACCAGACAGGGCATATGAGTCAAACAGCATAATATAGGTCCACAGGAACAGGTCTGAGAGGAAGATTATGAGGCCAACTGCAATATGTGAGGTGGGAGGCATCTAGGGGACAGTGAAATGTCCAATGATTACTATGGTCTAGATCACAAGGCAGAGGACTGGAATCAAGCTACTGGTGTGGGAGTCATGTAGTCCTACAAGATAGCAGAGATGTCAGGGAAAACAGGTTCATTCACAGAGAATGACTAGGTGGAAAGACTAAGGATAGAATCCTGGGAATACCAACATGGCAGTAGGGTAGGGAAGAGAAGCCAGGAGGGTATAAGTCACAGAATCTAAGAGGTACAATATTGTTTCTCTTTTTTTTTTTTTTGGTACAGGGAATAAACTTGGGTCCTTGTGCTTGCACACCAGGGAGCGAAACCACTAAGCTAAATCCCCGGCCTGAGGTACAATATTGTTATTCTTCAGCCTTTAACTGAATTTCTTTTCCAGGTAAGTTAACATTTTCTGCTAAATACAAGTCAATGGTAGCCTACAAAGGTAGCTTACAATCTCTTCAAATAGCTTCAGGGAAGAATCCACAATACACATTTGATCAAATTTTGAAATTGTAGAATATTAGCTACATACATGTTCATTAAAATTTGTACAAAAGAAAAACTTGTACAAATGTATTTCCCTACCACCATCCTCTACCTACTCTACAACTTGTCTTTGTAGGAAATAATTAAAGCTTGAAGTGCTTTGAAAATGAGAGACTATACATTTCAGGATCCTTCGGCTGACCTAACACAATGGATCATTAACTTAGCCATTAAATAATTTCTATTAAGTAATAAGAGACTTGGTATAAAGCAAAACTAAGTTTTCCATTACATCTATAAACAGTAGGAAGTTGGCATGGAAAATAGTAAATACTATCTCACTGTCCAAAGTTCAATAAAATTATAGCCTAATGAAATTCCAAAAATAAAAAAAGCCCTGGACACTTTATTCTTCCTCTAATCTTCCAACACTCCTATGGAAAATTGCAGAAAGCTGAGGACAGAAATAGTGGGAATGTGGAAAATTTAATGTTGTAAATTAGTCCATTATACCAGACAAAATACATATGCAAAAAACAAGCAAAAAAAATTACGTGTGTGGGAGGGGCATGATACAAAGTTTATCCACCATTTGGAACTACAGATAAACCTACTGGCACAGTAAAGATATCTTCTCTCTCCTTGCCAAATCTGTTGTCTGTACAGAAAGCAGGCCCTTACTCCACTTCAAGACAGCTGCAAAGTTAAGGTTAAAAAGGTGACGGCAGGATGTGGACAGCAGGATAAGTGCTGTCTTGCCCAATCAGGGCCCATTCTAGCATTCAGGACCATTACTGACCATTCTTACAAATGTCAACATTGGGGCATTGTTCATCAAGTTCTTTAGGTGAGGATTAGTGATTTCTAACTCTTGTATTATTGTATATAATTCTGGACGATAGCTTTAGAGTGGTAAATATGACATTAAATATTCCCTGTAATTACTTAGCCAAAATTAAATGAAGACACTTACTTTGCATCAGCAGCCTGAGAATGTCACTATACTGGTCAGGGAATTGGTAGAGAAGAAGGTAAGTCCAGTGCTTACAGAAAAGATTAAATGGCATCAAAATATCTTCATCTGGTTCCAGGCCCCAGGCAGTAAGTGCCAAATGAATGGACTCCAAAAGCCTGGTACGATCAGACAGAGGAGGTTTAGTGGTGTTTAACCATTGCTTAAGATCGAACTAAAAAGAAAAAGAAACAAGAAGCAGTTTTATTTACACTAGAAAATTAAGTGAAGTAGAGAGGTCTGTGCAAATTTAGTTCAAAAGTCAAAGATTACTTCACATTTAACAATCTATAAAAACGGAAACTAAAACGCATGCACCAGCACAGGGAAGAATATAAGAAGTTCACTAATTGGCACCATTATGCAACCATCTCTAATTGACTGTCTGGGGTTCCAGAGGCTTGTTTTTGTAATATAAAAATCTTACTAATCATTCTTTTTTTTTTTGGTACCAGGGATCAAACTTAGGACCTTGCCTTGCTTCCAAGGCAGGTGTAGCGTCATTGAGCTAAATCCCTGACCCACTGACCATTCTTTATTGTTTCATAATTTTATTCTGTTACTGAAAGATATACATATTTCTACCTAATAAGGTTCCTCTCCAAGCCCCAGATCAGAACTTACAGTTCGCCCTCACTGGTCACAGCACCAAAACCAAGCAGCCATGTTTTTGAGCTGCATCATTTTCCTGCCTCAGTTAATAAAAATTCAGACTGTTGTATTACACTCCAGAATTCCAAAGTATAAAACATGTTCTCCTCTATTATAGACTGAGATCAATTTCTAGGCTCTAAAAAATGCCAAGATCTTATTGCTTCTTAAGTATCAGATAAATATAACGGAAGGTAAAATAGTAAGGCTCTGAAATTTTCAATTGGTTAAATAAATCCACTGGCTACTCTCACAGAGTATTCTACTTAAAATTAGGATAATCTGTTTATATCTGGCTTATTCTAAATGTAAGAGACCTGACATTACAATTCATTTATCAAACATAATTTAGGTACAAATTCAGATAAAATTAAAAGAAGGATGGATTAAACTACTATTATGAATATTTTCAAATCTGTACTAAGTTTTAAAAGAGGGCTTGGGAAGGAGGTCCTCTTTATACTATGTGGATTATGGTCATACAATACAACCAGAGTTCTATGCCCAAAAAAGGAACCCTGTGGGGTGAGTCAGGCTGCCTGAAGATTATGCAAAAATAAAAAAGGCCTTTTAGCCTATGGTCATCTGGAACCAAACCTCAGGGGTCCTTCCATTTTTATGGTGTGGGAAGCAACAATCACTTTTGTGTTCTCTGTTTCACAGCATCAGGATTGAATCACCTCTTACCTTGGTTAGCAGCATAAAAATCATGTCACTATTGTCCTCACTTAGGAACTTCACCACTTTCTCATACAGCTGTATGAACTCCGCAGGTGCAGCATTGGGAGTGAAGAAAGGAGACAAAAGAGAGCAGAGCCTTCTATTCTTCAGAATGGTCTGAAGTAACTTTCTACATTCTGATTTGGTGCCACTGATAAACACCTTGAAAAAATGAGGGAAAATGTCACCAAATTCTTCCCCTCCACAACCTTTACATAAGCAAACAAGTTTTAAGGGGTACTAAGAAAGGTGAGATTTTTCTAAATGAAAATATGAAACAATCAAGAAACATACAAAATTAACATAGATAAGCCTATCACTTTCAATGTAAATAACATAAAAAACTCTGTATAATCTATTTGGACAAGCCATATATAGATAATTATGAGTTAACTGTACTACACAATTTTTAAGAGATTAAAATGTTGGACTAATTTCTATCACTCCATCTTCTAGAGACCAGTTTTCTCATCTTTAAGATGGAAATGGTAACTTGGAAACAGCCCACATGCCCATCAACTGGAGACTGGATAAAGAAAATGTGTTTTTTTTTTATAAAATGGAGTACTACTCAGCCATAAAAAATGAGAAATTAGAGACATTTATACCTAAATGTATGGACACTGAGGTGATACTCTTAAGTGAAATAAATAGGACATACATGTATAAATACTGAATAGTCTCTCTAGTGTGAGAAACTGAAAGTGTAAATAAAGACTAACAAGTAGAAAAAAAAGATGGAAATGGTATAAACTAGTCATTATGAGGATGAATTATAATGCACTAGAAGTATTTAAAAACAATAAAGTGCTTTGGTAATATTATTAATGCCAAGAATATATGACAGAATCTTGATGTCTCTCCAGACTTCTAAATACAGATAATTTAGTGTCTCTTGAAAGAAAAGCAGCATTCTATACTAAAAATTCTAATTATATGTTAAGAAGCCAACAATTCCAAGAGGCTCTGACTTAGACAAGACCTTAACCTACAATAGAATTCTGAAGTCAATAAAGACACTGCAGAAACTAATTGTATTTGAACAAGACTAACAACACAGAATAACCTTACCTGTCCCAAGATCTCAATGCATGAAGTAAAGAACTGTCTTGTGGGAGGGTAGCGCTGCGTTTCATCACTGACATATTCTACAACAGTAAAGAAAAGGCCAATGCCAACTTTCTGAATCCCAGGTGTTGGCTGCAACTTGTAGGCATTCACTAAGGCCCTGTGGGAAAACATGGATAAAGTATTGGTCTACAGTGAAAGAACCTATATTCATAGGTGTTCCTTTGATGCCCTACATTTTTCAGACAATACGTATTTGTTAAAGAGTCCTCAGAGCCCTATGCAAATATCACTTTAGAAATATTTCATATGGTAAAAGTGTATCTTCCAACTTTATTCACCAATTCACTTTCAACAAACAGTAATGATTTTATGTTCCTCCAGGAAAAACAAAAATCAGCTATGTTATAAGGATTAATATTCTTACACTTATTAAAATTTTTTACATTTTCTATGTAATTCAGTTATTTAACTTTTTATATTTCTCATATAATACATATTTTTAAACACAAGAATGCTCATATCTCTAAATTTTAAAATTTAAAACATTAGCTGAGGTTGAAGAAAAGATTTTTGTTTTAACAATAAAAACCTAGAATAAAGATGTCCCTTTTAATTCTCACACTTTTTTGAGTGACTTTCCCAGTGACAGAAATATCAACCTGTGGTTCTCCCGATCTGCTCTTCCATCCCAAGTCCCCCAGCTCAACCCAAAAAATGATTCAACACCCCTCCACACACCATCACAGCTGCCAAACTTTTCACTGCAAAGGGCCAGACAGTAAATATTTTAAGCTTTGTTACGACTGTCTGTCACTAACAGTCAACTCTGTCATTGAAACTTTAGCCACAGACATTATAAATAATGGAGATGGTTGTGATCCAATAAAATTGTGTTTATAAAAATAGGCAGCAGGTCAAATTTGGACCAAAAGCCATAGTTTGCTGATTTTTGTACTAATATAATTAGTGGATGTCTGAGATAGAGGGGAAGTGTAGTAATATGTACAATTACTATTAATGTAACAAAATAGTATTTCAAATTATAATACTGTCAAAACTTACGTGATCAAATTTTCTGCATGCACAGCAGCTTCCACAATATTAAGTGAAGGTGGCTTGGAAGCTTCTGCTTGCAACTGCTTCACTTCTTTCCGTAAAATATGTAGCTGTTGGCTTATTGCTTCATTTTTATACATGCCTTCAAACTAACAAAAATTGAGGAGGTCAACAGATTTCTTTTTCCCTGCATGCTTCCTTACAGGTATCTTATTATAAACACATATGAGGAAGAGAGGATTACACTTAATATTATAACTTAACTCAAAATTCTCAATTGGACCTGAGAGGGAAGAAAAAAAATTTGTCAAAAAACCATTGAAGAGTCTTAGGTTTTGCAACAGGAAGTAAAGAGACAGCTCATTCTCAAAGGGGAGGAGGGTCAAAGGATGGGATGGGGGAATAAGGATGAAAAAAAGGAATGAGGGTGTATTATATACATGCATCAACTCCACCCAAGGGATATTATGCACTACAAATATATACCCAAAAAAGAGAGCTGGGGATCAAAGGATGGGGAGGAATGGAAGGAGGGAAAGGAAAGGAGATGAAGAAAGGAATTAAGATGTGTTACATACGTGTACCAACTTCCCACAAGGAATGTAAACATTACATATTACACAAAAGTACTAATCTAAAAATTTTTTTAAAAGAATCTCAGGTTTTTCCTGAAGAATTCTCCTTCAGTTAAACAGAGTTATTTTCTTACAAAGATACCAAAACTTATATCAATATAATTTTTAAGAATAGGAAAAATTTATTGAGAGAAAGATAGCTTCTGTCTAAGAGAGAGAGAGGGGGAACCAGAAAGTGGGTTGCCTCATCAATGGTTCAAATATTTTATAGAATAAATTCTACTTCACTCCTGCTTTGACTCCTCAAATCCTCAAAAACAGACCCAATGTCTTCCACTGCCGAGGCTTTTACTTGAAGCACACCAACCCCCTCCTCTGTGGATCATTCATTTCCACTCCCTACCCCCAGCCTTAACCCTCTGTGTTCTCTCAGTCCAGCACACATACAATTCAACTTCAGACACTCAGAAGAGGACAACACAGAAGCTGTTAATAAAACAACTGCCACTGTGAAAGATATATAACTATAAAGGAACAAAGTAAGATAAAATATGGAAAAGTGCCCGAATCAACTGCACACTAAAGAAACTGGCCAATTCAATGATTCTTGAAAGTTAGTCTTTGATAAAATTTTATTGGTTCTCATAAAGATATGAATATAAGAAAATTTATTTAGCTTTAGAAAAACTAAATTTATTTCAATTTAAAGGACTATACATTTTTAGGTTGTGTCTTTCTTACTTGAGAGTTAACATATCCTTTCTCTAAGTGACAGTGATTCACATAACTTTTGTTTGTGCATTTTATTGTCCTTTTGTGGATGTGGACAGACTTAGAGGACACTGTAGACAGAACCAAGGTGTGTGTGGGGGGGTCCTCTTCCTGACTGGTTTCATGGCTTAGACTGCTGATAGCAGTATGTCTTTAGGGAATGCAAAATTTAGCACCCTGTCCCCAACTTCAAAGCCATAGCTATTACCTAGGATGATCAGTTCAAAGATATCAGCCTACCTGACCACAAAGGAAAATATGTTGTGTTCTTTTACCTTCCTGACTTCAACCTTTGTGCACTCTACATGGATCACTGCTTTCAGTAATAGATGAAAAATTTAAGAAATTCAAATGCCAAGTGATTGGTGCTTCAGTGGATTCTCACTTCTGTCATCTGGCATGGATCAATATACCCAAGAAACAAGGAAGACTGAGACCCATGAACATTCCCTTGGTGTCAGACCCAAGACCACTATTGCTCAGGTTTATGTCGGCTCTTAATGTGTGATTAAGCACACATTCACATTTACATTCACAAAGCATCTCACATTCAGGGCCTCTATCATTGATTTAAGATATCCTTCAGCAGATTACTATAAATGACCTTCCTGTTAGCTGCTCTGTGCTCGAGACCTGAGATTAGTTCGGGCCTTCCAGTTCATTGACAAACATGGGGAATTGCGCCCAGCTGACAGTTGGAAGCCTGGCAGTGCACCATCAGGCCTGAGGTCCAAAGAACAAAGACTATTGAGCACTGGGCCATCTCGATGCCAGGATGCTGAGGGCAGCCATGAGAACAAAATATCTTTTCCATTTTCTATTAAACTTTAATCTGAATAAAAGTAGAAACAAAGAAGAAGAACCAATGTGACAACTGTAGGGGCCAGAAGGACAGAGAGGAGAAGCCTGCACGCTGATGCCAGGGGTTGGGGATAAAGAATGCAGTAAGGTCAGAGTAGGGAACAAGGGGAGCTGCCCTGGGAGCCCTTGTGCAGCAGGCTACCAGGGGGTTGGGACTTTCCTGCAGGCACAGTAGAGAACACTGAAGAGACCAAAACACTTAGAAGGCAGAAATTTTAAGTCCTACATTCTCCCGCTATGGTTGTCCCAAACAGAAGAGCAGTTGGGCATGGAGGTTACATTGCCTCTTTTTATGACCCTACCAAGTCTAGTCTTCAGCCACCACTATAACAACCATAGATACCTTTGTCTGTAGACAATGGAAATACAGTGGTACCTTGGTTCATCAACGCTTCATCGACGCTTCATCAACAATGGTTCATCAACAAAGTGTTTAGAAAAATTTTTTGTTTACAAACTCTACATCAGGTGACAAACTGACCATCTTTTCCACACAAACACAAACATAGCCATCTTTTCCAAAACTGTGGAACAAATTAAATTTGTGAACTGAGGTACCACTGTATTTAATTCATCAACTGATTTAAGTGGGGCATTTATGTCCCTGTCAGTTACTATCATAAATTCTATACCAAAAGTTCTTGAAAGGCAATGGTCCTGTTTTGCTTACATACAACCCCAGCATGGCACAACTCTGAGAGTAGGCTGAAGATACCTGTTTATTATGATCATAGTAAGTTTCTTCTATAAAACTTACCAGTGTTGTGTTACAAGTCTTTACCTTCCCACCACTGTTGAAAGATTTTTTTACTAAACTGAAGTAAGAGAGACTGAATGACTTCCAGTTCATAATGACAAGAAGCTGGAGACAAAAGAACAAAGTAGCATGGTGGAAGCCCCTTCACTGGAGTTATTTTAAGTAGACAAAACTAAAAAGTTGGACAAAGTATGTCCTTCAGCAAGTTTTTACAATAATGGGAGGCCCTCAATAGGTCTTTTCCACCTTTCATTTCTAGGAATGGACAAATTTTTCACATGATAATAAATCAATCCTGGGTCTAGCAAGCATGTCCCACAATACCAAAACACAGCAAAAGGAACCCAATTATAAATCACTCCATTTCCTCAGGGAACACCACTGAATTATTAAAGGCTTCTATTAGGAGGGGAGATCACAGAAGAAGCACATCTCACTTCTCATAAAATATATTCAGCTTTTGTATACCCCAACAAGCTATATATAGTTCAAAGACTTGCAGGCAGCTGGAAATTTACAGAACTTTCCTTCCCAGAAAAATTCTGTTGGAACAACAGAATAATATAATGTGAAATCCTTATAAATGAACCATTAAAAATTAGGTCTGAAATCTACACTCATATTCCATAAAGCTAGTTTTTAAAAATTGGCCCAATCCAAAGTGTTCAGTTAGATCATGGATTCTCTAACCATGCACACTCAAGAGAGAAAATGGTACACCTGTTCATTCAAATCAGGTTTGACTGTCTCAATTAGTTCACTCAGAATCACACTGCTAGTCTTGAGAAAGTAGGCCTGAAGCATTAAAATAAAATGGCCTGGCAATACTGAATGGGAAAAGCATGGGTCTGGAATTTAGATGGATGCAGGTTTGAATTCCAACTAAATCACTTAGCTGTGGGGCTGGCAAGTCTCTCGGTGCCTGAACTTGTTTCTCTGAATTCATCCTAATTTGTAAAGATTAACAGAGATCAGTAAGCAAAATGTCGAACCTAATACCTGTGACATGAGAGTGCCTAAGCAAGAAACAAAAAGGATTCTAAACAGGGCTGGGAAAGGCAGTGGTATGCAGCATGACCACTCTTACTATGTTACTGGGAATGTCTCTGAGTAAAAAGGTCAGGTGAGCAGTGTGCAGTATTTAAGGTGAGATTTGTAGAGAGAGGAGTAAGCTGTTTAAATGGGCCAAAGAGTAAGCACAAGCAAAAATAACCACTAACTTCTAGTAGAAAAAAGTTCCAACTTCCATTATGTCTTTCATAGTCAAATAATATCTATATAGTATCCAAAAGTAGTTTGGATCAAGGAACTTAATCCATGAAGGATATAAATCTATAGCTGTTCATTCCTTTAAAAACATCCACTCTATGGCACTGATGACATAAACATGAATAAGACAAGGTCCCTTACCTCATGTAATTCAAAACTTAGTAATAGCCATAGAAACGAGCCATAACACACCCTTATGAGCGGTGTGCTGATGGCTTTCACTGAGTCATTCAACAGGTATTACAGGAACCTTGTACACGCCAGGAGCAACATTAGATGACAGAACTACACAAATGATTAAAAACGGAAACTGTATTCCACAAGAATTCAGTCTGGTAGGGAAAAAACAGCAAATGACTAGGGCAGCTCTGAGGCACAAACTGCGATGAGAGGAGGGACCATCTCAATCTGGCAGGGGGAGTTAGGAGAGACCTCCAGAACTGTGGCCTGCACCAAGGAGTAAAGGCTGAGCAGAAGGGCAGGAACTGTGGGTGGAAGGGGACAGAAGCAGTACATGCACAAGGACAATGGGATGAATGTGTGTGGTGTCTAGAGAATGGAGAAAGTCTAAGTTGCTAGAATGTTTGGGAAGTGGGAGAGTGGATAAATGATGCAATAAGAAAAAATATCAACCATTTAAAATTAGACTGAGGATCTATTGAAGCTACAATTCTCCAGAAAAAAAATTATATACACTTTCAGCAGCTTCACTAACCCTCTAAAGACCATTCACAGACCCCAGATTAACAACTCCACCACATATAATAAGTAAAAGCAGACAATACCACAAAAGATAGGGGATCAGGACTAGAACCAAGCCCCACTAGCAACTGAAAATTGAATTAAGGAAGAGAAACTCTGAAAAATGAGAAGTGATCAGAGATTTTGGAGGACTAAGAGAGACCTCATGAAGTAC